AATTCTGTTAAGAAATTATAAAAATATAATAAATATTTTTTTAAATTTTTTTATTATAATTAGCTGTTTATTTTCAGCTTTTTACACTTTTGGGCCGCCATTTTTTCTAAAGAAAAACATATTAAAAATGAAGAGAAAAGGAAGAAATTTAATTGGTTTTATTAGTTTGGGAAACGGGACATCAAATTCCAAATCATAAAATTGTTACTCATACTAAAGATGATCAGTTTTATTGGGTTTATGTTTTACAATGACATGTAATCGTACATTGTCATGTAGTTAATAACTGTTAACTTCAATGGTTTATTATTTTTAAAAATTAAAAATTATGTTGATTAATAATCTAAATTTTTTTAAGATTGATAGTGTATAAAAAAATAATTATATAAGACACACCAAATTGATAGGTATGCCAATCTCCCTTAATTATAGTTAATACTTATTACACGGACAACATTTTTATTTTCAAAAATATAAGCATGATCCTTCTTTGTAATACTTTTAAAAGAACTTTAAGGACTATTTTAGTCATAAAATCAGAATTGACATTAAAAATTTTGATTTTAATAGAATGAGTTTGAAATTGTGATTTTATATTTGGCATACTCAAATAATTAAAATAAAAAATTAGACTTCGAAATTAAATGTAAAATCTAAATTTTTAAAAATAATTTAATTTTGTATTAAAATTTTGTTTAATAACTTTTTTAAAAATAATTTATTAATTAAAAATACAAAATAATTATTAAATCAATTGTTAAAAATAATAACTTAATATTTTTTTAAAAATCTTGACATAGTAAATTTATTTTTTATATTTAATTTAAGCTTAATTATATTTTTAATCTCTATATATAGATTATTTTGTAATTAGTCCCTACAAGTATTTTTGTTAAAAAATGGTCTTTCTAAAGAAAAAAATTTAAATCTTCTAATAAATTTTTAACTCAAACGGAGAATAGCTCAACATTTTTTGTAACTATTTTAAGACTCAATTAAATTGATGTGACATGCTACATCATTTATTATTTTTATTTATAATTAAAATTTATAAATAAACCCTTAAATCTATTTTATATAATTACATAAAAAAAACTTTCTAATTTTCTTTCTTTCTTCTATATTGTTCCTCCCTTCTCATCCCCCTTCCTCACAGCCCCTTCAAGCAACCTTTCTGATTGGGTCAAATTACATTAACTATATAGTTATTGTTTGATCTATTGAAACAATCAAGCTTGGTTTGGCATCTTAAAATGGCCTGGATCGATCCTATTCATGCGACTGTAATTTGACGGGATGACTAATTGTTCTTAGGCGCATGCAAAAGTAGCAAAGAATATTAAAGAAAAAGGCAACAAAATTATACATGATAAAGAAAGAAAATATTTATAAAGTAAAAATGAATCTCACAGCCAGTTTTAAGATCTTGCCATTTCCAATCACACAATAATAATACACCAAATATGTACTCGAATACAAAGAAAAGGTAAGCAAAGCAATATGGGTCCTTTACCTCGCACCTTACAGCTATGAGCTATGGATGGGGTCAAGAGTAGTGATGGTGGGGGTTTTTCACCTCATGGGTGATCACAAGCACAGATTTAAATGATCACAAGGTACACATTCTTGATTGTGTAATCACTCATCCATCCAATGCGTTACATAACAGTGTTGTTAACTTAATCAGCGTTTTGGACCTCTCGATTCTATACACGTAGGACAACTGTCACAACCATGGGCCGTCACTCCTCCACCAATCACTCTCCCTCTATAGCCGTCACCGGACCCCCCGCAGCATCTCTCTGCCGCCGCGAGACAAGCACGATTTCGGTTCGCCGGATCCTCTTCCTCGCTCCCGGTCTCCCTCCCCGTGAATGAAGCGGTTGAAGAGAGCTCAATCCGAATGCAAGCGCGAGCCACGCGAGAGTGAGAGGAACAATGGCAGTGGCAGAGGGAAGGGTTCGGAGAGGGAAACGGTTGAGCGGAAAGAGAAGAAGAGAGCACAGAACGACGACGGCGGTGGCCGCGGGAGTGGAAGGAGTAACAAATCATCGTGGTCGGAGCACGAGAGGTCGCCAAAACGATAACGGGGATGCCGGACAGGGTCCTACAACGGTGGATCTTGTCGACGTGATTGAGTTCCATGGAATCCATGGGGATTGTTCCTCTGCGAGTAGGTGTTCCATGGTTCGCGGGCTGCTTTTGGGTTTGCGTTTTTTCTTGTATTTTTTGGGGGTTTTGGGGATGAGGAAGAAGGTGAAAAGGGGGGCGCTCAAGAAGAATGGGCTGCCATTAGGGCTCCCAATTTTTAGGGTTTTAGAGGGTTTGATGTTTAAGAAGAAGAAGAAGCGCCAAGCCATGAATCTGAATGAACACTGATCAATCAGAAAGGGTTTGCGAGGGAAGAAGACGCGGTGAAGGAGGAGTGACGAAAAAAGAAAGGAGTTTTATACATTTATATAAATAGGTTGACGGGTTTATTTGTAAATTTTAATTTTAATTTTAAATAAAAAATAATAAATAATGTGATATGTTTATAACTCGGCCTTAAAATGGTTATGTATGTATAATGTTGAGCTAATTTTTTATCAGTTAGTTCCATATTTAATAGAAGAGATTAATTTTTAAATTATTTAATTTAAAAATATTATTTTTTAACAAAAATATTTGTAAGATCTAATTACAATATGACTTATAGTTATAGAAATTAAAAATATAATTAAGCTTTTAATTTATTATTAAAATTTAATATTATATTATGAACCATCTTTTTTATAAATTAAAGGAAAACATATAAATGTTCACAAATATAATTGTATTTTTAAAATAAAAAATATAAATTAAATATAAGTGGTTCTAAAAACTTTTGTTTTAAAATAAGGAGTTAAAATAAGTAGAAATATTACACTAAATTTTGTTATGCTTACATGACAAGTATGATGTAGTTTTTCTCTTTCACTTAAAAAGTTATGAGTTAAAAATAAAATTTGTTTAGTAAAACGTAATTGATTGTAATAATGTTTATAAACGTATATATTTTTTACTTTATTTTTATCATTTTATTGCATCTAGCATTAGAATTTTTTTTTCTTGTACCCTTAATAGTTCTTGAATTATTTTTTATTATTTTATTCAACATCTAACAATTCAATAAAAATATTAAATAATTTATTATACAATTAATATAAACAATATAGTTTGTGGTAAGTATAAAAAATTCAGAATAGCAATACAATATAGTTTGCAGTAAATAGAGAATAACAACATGACATAGTAATGTTAATATATTAAACACGTAACAAAATTAAAAAATGAAAAAGAAAAAAAATATATAAAAGAAGAATAAAAAGAATAAGAGAAAAAAGAATAAAAAAATCACTTTTATTAATAATCAATGAAAAACGCAAAAAAAATAATAGAAAAAAACAAGAAAACATAAAAAACGAAGTAATGTAATAATAATTAAGGTAAATGTGAAGTTAAAGAAAAAGAAGTGAATATAGAAAAACAAGAAAACATAAAAAGAAGAAGAAAAATGCACAGAGAAAAGAAAGAAGAAATAAAGAAAAAAGAAGAGAATAAAATACTTGAAGAATAAAATAGACTAGTAAGTACAATATGTAAGTGTATATTTATAAATTATGATATTAAAAATTGAATTTCCTAAAATAGATATAAGAATTAAAGTGAGCTAAATTTAATTATTATAGAATTATAATATTAATTTCAGATAAACATCCAAACATGATAATTAAAATTCTGAATCATAATTTCAATTTCAATTTTAACGTCTAATTTCATATTCAATTTCGTGTACCAAACGGGCACTAATATAATTCATAATAATATTTGAGAATTTAGGTGCATAATTTTGAAACAAAAATAATATTATAATAATAACCTTGTACGAATAAGATAAATGAGAATATATATATATTTTAAATGATATATGGATAATGATGTTCTTGTTTAATTAAAAACGAGAGAACATTTAATTTTAAAATAATTAATTCTTTCAATTTGAATTATATGTTTTTCCTTTCTTTTATTAAACTAATAACAAGGCAGGATGTCAAAGTGAACAATGGAACATTGACTTGCGGACTAACTCAACGTACCTTCCTATACGAGGTGAGTTTTGTCGATTTTTCTCTTTTCAAACTGAATCATATTTTCATGACATACAAATTTGGAGAATTTGAAAAGAAATTTAAATTTTTGATAGGATTACTCATAGATTGATTTATGAAAATAAAAAATGTATTTTTTAAAATAAAAAATATAAAAAACGATAAAAATAAAATAAAAAATATAAAAAATATCATAACTTATTTTACTATCATTTAATAAGCATGTCTGCTTATATAAAATTTTTATAAAAGGAAAGCGATAAAAATATATATGAATAATATAACTTAATTAAATGAATTATTAAACATATATTATGCCATTATTCTCTCACAAATAAAAAATGCACATCATATATTTTTTTAACGGAAAATGTTCTTACAATTATATCATTCACCATTTGTTAGATGTAAAATCTTATGTTATGTCATTTGACTTATTTCTTTATATTTATTATTGTTCTTGAATCAGAAATAAATAAATATGAAAGAGGAAATACATGTAAAATATTGGGTTTGTAGACTTACAAAGCAAAATGAGCATTTTTTTCATAAATGATTTATTTATTTATTTATTCTTTCTTTCTTCTTTTATTTCTCTACAAATAGTATTACAGAAAGATTAACCCAAAATAGTATTTCAGAAAATTTAAAATGAACCAAACATAATCCACATAATGGAAAAAGGAGAATAAATTTTGCTAAGCCAATGGGATTATATAATTTCCGGGGTAGAAACCACCTCGTCGATACAAATACAGGGCGGAAAAGGTCGGCGTCATCGACTAACTTTCATGTTTGTCTTTTAGGTTTCAAACATTTAGTGTGATTGATTCCGAATCTTGTTACCATTGTCATCACATTAATTAACGAACGCTGAACAACTTGTTTTGACTGATTCAAATTGTTTTCATGTCCAAGCAGTACAAAAGACCTATGTTTGTAGACAAAGGCAAAAATGTGAAGTGAAATCAAAAGCCATGTCTACCATGGAACTTGAAGATAGGGCGCTGAAACTCTACTTCATTCCATACCTAGCAGCAGGTCACATAATCCCTCTCTGCGACATAGCCCAGTTATTCGCCTCACGCGGCCACCATGTCACCATCATCACCACCCGTTCCAATGCCCAAATCCTTCACCAATCCAAACACTTGCGAGTTCACACCTTCGATTTTCCTTCCCAAGAAGTAGGCCTCCCCGACGGCGTCGAGAGCTTGTCCGCCGTCACCGACTTCGACAAATCCCTGAGGATATACTATGCCATCCTGCTGCTCCGTGAACCCTTCGAGAAGTTCGTGGAGCGAGACCCACCCGATTGCATCGTCGCAGATTTTCTCTACCCTTGGGTTGATGAATTGGCAAACAAGCTTGGCATCCCTAGACTCGTTTTCAACGGATTCTCCCTCTTCACCATCTGCGCCATGGAGTCCGTCAAGACGCACCGCATCGATGCTTCCGTTCCTTTTCTCATTCCTGATTTCCCTCACCACATCACCATCAACTCAACCCCACCCACCACCGCTCGGGGTTACATTGAACCCTTGCTCACTGTAGCACTCAAGAGCCACGGTTTCATAATCAACAACTTCGCCGAGCTTGACGGAGAAGAGTACATCGAGCATTACAAGAAAACCACGGGTCACAAGGCTTGGCATCTTGGTCCAGCCTCTCTTGTTCGCAGAAACGCTGAAGAGAAAGCAGAGAGGGGTCAAAAGAGCGTAGTGAGCGCGCACGAGTGCATGAGTTGGCTCGACTCGAAGCGGGACGACTCAGTGCTCTACATATGCTTCGGAACCATGTGCTATTTCCTGGATAAACAGCTTTACGAGATCGCAAGCGCAATTGAAGCATCGGGTCACGGATTCATATGGGTGGTTCCGGAGAAGAAGGGGAAGGAGGAAGAGAGCGAAGAAGAAAAAGAAAAGTGGTTGCCAAGAGGGTTTGAGGAGAGGAACAGGGAGAAGGGGATGATTATAATAGGGTGGGCCCCGCAGGTGTTGATACTGGGTCACCCCGCCGTGGGTGCTTTTCTGACGCATTGCGGTTGGAACTCCACGGTGGAGGCCGTGAGCGCCGGAGTTCCGATGATTACGTGGCCGGTGCACAGCGACCAGTTCTACAACGAGAAGCTGATAAGTGAGGTGCGGGGTATTGGGGTGGAGGTGGGCGCAGAGGAGTGGACCGTCACTGGTTACTATGAGAGTACGAAGGTGTTGGACAGATATCGCATTGCGAACGCTGTGAGGAGGGTGATGGACGGTGGTTATGAAGCCCGGGAAATCAAACGGCGCGCACGTGAGTTTGGGGAAAAGGCTAGACGTGCCGTTGAAAAGGGTGGCTCGTCTTACGATAATTTAACGGCCCTGATTGATGAGCTTACTCGATTGAGAGACGGTAAGCCACTTCGTTAGTTACGACGCTCAACAGTTCTACCACAACAAAATTTAGTTGAACGTACTATTTTCATGGCAAATGAAATTGAATATTAAAATAACTAAAATAACATTCTGATGTTCAACTGTTTAAATTATATCCTTCACTCTCAAATGTCATCTAATAATTAATAAAAATAAAACAGTTTATTAATTATAAAAAATAAAAAATATAAAATATTTAAATAAAAATATAAGATAAAATATAACAAAAAAATTTAGTACAACTCACTATGTTACTCAGATATTTGAGAGACAATAATTGACTTCATTAATTGCGACACTCAACAGTAGTACCACCACAAAATTTAGTACAACGCACTGTGTTACTCAGATTCGAAACAGTGTTATTTTTATAAACATCATTTCTCAATTCTATTTTCACCTCAAATTTAACAGAGATAATATTGATTATTGAACTGAGTGTTAGTCTATATTATTTCATCACTTGTTTTATTATATTTTTTAATTTATAAAACAGACTATACATATTTGTTACATAAATATCAGTTCTCAATTCTAAACAAAGTAAAAACCAACAAAATGAAATTGAATATTAAAAAGTTATTATTGCAAGTGGTATTATATATATATATATATATATATATATTAGAGATGCAAATTCTAATATATTTTAAAAAATTATTAAAAAATTAAATATTTTAATTATTTTTTATTACAGTATAAAGACATGTTATATTCAATAAATAAAATCACAATAAACACATAAAACTAATAAAAAAAATAACACTTACAAAATTTGTTTAATCAGTCAAAAAATTATTATATTTAAAAAAGTAAATAAATATCATTATTATAAAATTTATTGATACAAATTATTTATATTATAAAATTCATAGATGCTAAAAAATAACATATGAGGATAGTAAAAATTAATAGAATTTATATTTAAATTAAAATAACTTATATTTCTAAATTTTATCTTAATAAAAAATATGTGATAAAATTTAATAAAAAATTTAAACTCAATACTATATATAATAATAATAACTATAAAATATTTAATTTTATTAATTTATTATTTTAAATTAATAAATATATATATAATTAACTATATTATAACATTAATATAATATAAAAACTATTACTGAATATATTAAAACATATATTTATATATTATATATAAATTGATAAATTAATTAATAATTTATTTTTTGTTTATATAAGTATTTATTAATTATTAAATTTTAAATATATATTAACAATTATATATTTTTTTAAAAAAATTATATCAAATTCAGTAAAAATAATTATTTATAATTTTATATATTTATATTTAGGTGTGTAGTTTTGTGTTATTGACTTAGTATCTAAATTTTTTTTATAAGTGCCTTATTCAAAAAATTTATATAAATAAAAATAAAATACGTAGTAAATTACAAAAAATATATATTATTATATATAACTTATTTAAAATTATATTTTATTTTATTTACTATATTGTTTTATATATATATATATATATATATATATATTGTATATTAAATTTTTATTTTATTATTCTATTTTTTTAATTTTAGTGTTAAATTAAATATAATTTATATTTAAATAATTTCTATTTGTTATAAATAAAAAGAATTAAATTATAATATATTAATATAATAATTAAATATTAATAATAATAAAATTAAGAATATAAAAAATATATTAATATAATACTATTTTTTTAAAAATTATTTTGTTTAGTTTTAATTGCATTTTATTTGAAAAATTTAATCATTTTCTAACTTATTTAAACATAATAATTTATTATTAAAAAAAATTATTATTTAAAATATATAATCGTGTATAAATATTTTTAATTTGAAATAGAATATAATTTGTATTTATTATTATTATAAATAACAAAATTATAATATAATATTAATTTAATAATAATAGAATTAAAAATATAAACATATAATTAAACACCTAACTTCATTAACTCCTTATATGAGGGAGTTTTCGTTGTTTCAGGAAAAGTTATGTTCAGAGGGTTTAGATCATTCAGACATTACATTTGATTTCTATTACATCAAAATATATCCGTTTTCTTTCTTTTCCATGAATGAATGGTTGGAATCAGAGTCTGTCTCCATTGCTATCTTTACAACATTAATTGGAGTTCGAAAAGCTAAATTTTGTTTTAAATTGTTAAGGGCATACGTGTAAATAACTAAAACTTATTATACTGGGTCACCTTCTGAATCTACACCAATGCAGTGGCCGCATAAAATATTTTCACCACCATAAATGTTATAAATAAAATAGGTTAAATATATTTTTAATTTTTGTAAAATTATTAAAATTTACTTTTAATTTTTATAATTTTTTTGTTTGTTTTAGTTCTTAATTAATGTAACATCTTTATAATTAATTTATGTTATTATTTAATTTTTATTAGTCACTGATATGACTAACAAAGTTTTACATTATCTTTCTGCTATTATAAACTTTATTTATGACGTAAAAAGCTATCAAATAATGCCAAGAGAAGTGATGAAACATATGTTTCATCTAATTGGAATGTTCTTATTTAATTTCTCACGTGCATAGTTTATTTTTTTATTCTATTTATTTATTTATTTTTATTTAGCTGCATATAATATTAACAGAAATTAAGTAAATGTAAGAATTAATTCTAAATATTTTACATTAATTAGATATTAAAATAAAAAATAGATACCAAAAGAGAATTTAAGTAATTTTAGAAAGACAAAAAAATATATATCTAACTTAACTAAAATTTATAATTTAAAATTCTCAAAGTTTTAAAAAGTTAAACAATATATTTTATTTATTTTATTTACTATATTATCTTATTATATATATTGTATATTAATTTATTTTATTTTATTTTATTTAAATTTTAGTTTCAAATAAAATATAATTCATATTTAAGTAATTTTTATTTGTTATAAATAACAAAATTAAATATAATATAATGATTAAATAATTAAATATTAATAATAATAAATTAAGAATATAAAAAATATGTTAATATAATACTATTATTTCTTTTTTAAATTTTATTTCGTTTAGTTTTAATTACATTTTGTTTAAAAAATTTAACTATTTTTTAACTTATTTAAATATAATAAATATAATAATTTATTATTTAAGATGTGTAATATGTATAAATATTTTTAATTTTAAATAAAATAAAATATATTAAATTAATAATAATAGAATTAAAAATATAATATATACTGATATGTTTTAACAGAATATTGATCATTTTGAAATCCTGTATGATAATTCTAAATGCTAAATTACAAATAGTACGTGATTTACAATGGAACTTATGAGTCTACCTGATTTAATGTTAACTCAATTTGATTTTAATCCAACAAAATGGGCCAGAAGTTGACAAGGAGAAGGAGAAAGTGTTTAGGTCATCGACTGTGACCACAATACTCTGTCTCAATTTAATAAGATGCAGTTATAGAAAAATGACTAACGATTAATTTGCGTGATGCAAGAATTCTCCAGAATTTAATAAATCCTTTTAGATAAGTCAGATGCATAAATAGACAAAAATACAATCTTATTAACCCAATTCCAAAAAGAAAAGATGGGAGAGGAGAGTAATCCAAAGCTGAGAGAGTGTTGTGGTTGTTATATTAATCAGAGTTTTACCAAATCAAAAGATCCTACCAAACACGGGGGAAGAAAGGGAGGGAGGAGAGTAATCCAAAGATAAGAATGAGTGTTGTGGTGGTTATTTTTAATAGAGTTTTACCGAATCAAAACATCCTTCCAGATAAATTAGATTAAGTCAACATCTTATTTTTTTTTAAAATAATATTTTGGTCAGACAGTAAAACGGGTGAATAATAACATCATCGGATGCTTTTACGCTGTACCAAATGGCAACTCTAATGTTCGACAGCCCCTGTATTTTTCTTCAATTGCATGCCACAAAATTAACATCATCGCCCGTGTCTGACATGGGGATAAAAACAAACAAACAAAGGCCAATGTTTATCATTCAGCACATGGCAACAGCTTTCTTGAATTGATAAAGCTCTGTAATATCACATCATGCTGCTTCCTTGTCTAGGTTTATAATTTTCACTAACCATTTTTATTTATTTTTTAAATATATCATCAAATTTAAATTTTGAAGATGAAAATTAAAACTTGCTATATTTTAAAAATACAACTTCTTTTATACTCACTTTTCATCTCTATACGTGAATTTATTCATCACATCTCATAATTAGTTTTTCTTTTCTTCTTACACTCATTTATTTAGCGTCACTTATTGTCTGCTATTTTCATCGACAACAGTGTACTCCATCTCATTAAGCTTCACAAGTATGACGACTAAGAGGAACTCCATTTCTTCGGTCACATCAATATTGTGTAAAAAAAAAAAGTGGATAAATTTTTGCCTCATTGTATTTATCATACAAAATAAGCATAAATATATTTTTGTTATCTGTAATTACGTTTTATCATAAATTTTTGTAAATCTTTTTTAAGATTTAATTTTTAAAATATTAAGATTTAATTTTTATCATTAAACTCTTTTTTATTAAGTGCTAAATTAGTTGAAAAAAATCAACTTAGCACTTTTACATTATTATTACAAAAAAGGAAGAAGGTGAAGAAAAAAAAATTCTTCAAATTTTTTTATAAATATTTAAAATTATAAATAATAAAATATAAAATATAATAAATAACAGGTTACATATGAATAACAGGATATACATCATCTATAAGCGACAGTATCTATGTACAGAAATGTAGCTTTATTATTGTAAATTTTTCATATTTGTACTCCTCTGGCGGTGAAAATGAAGAAATCGGCACAGCACACAGTATAAATGCAAAGAAGGAGAGGCAATTAAGAGTGGCGTGTAGACGATGGAGAAATCTAAGCCACTTAAACTCTATTTCATCCCTTACCAGGCAGCGGGTCACATGATTCCTCTCTGCGACATAGCCACACTCTTTGCCTCACGTGGCCACCACGTGACCATCATCACCACTCCCTCCAACGCCCAAAACCTCCGCAAATCCATCCCCTCCCACCCCTTTCTCCGCCTCCACACCGTTCCATTCCCCTCTCACGAAGTGGGCCTCCCCGACGGCGTGGAAAGCCTCTCCGCCGTCACCGACCTCGAAAACCTCACCAAGGTCTACCATGCAACCACCATGCTCCACCTCCCAATCCAGCAATTCCTGGAGCAGCACCCACCCGACTGCATCGTCGCCGATTTCTTATTCCCATGGGCAGGTGACGTGGCAAAGAAGCTGGGCATCCCCAGATTGGCCTTCAACGGTTTCTCCCTCTTTACCATATGCGCCATAGTCGCCGCCGCAAAGACACGCTCCTTCGATTCCTCCATGGGTTCTTTTCCCATTCAGGGTCTTCCTCACCCCATCACCATCAACGCAACACCGCCAAAGCAGTTGAGGGAGTTCTTCGAAACCATGCTGGAGACAGCGCTGAAAGGCTACGGGTTCATCGTCAACAGCTTCGCGGAACTCGACGGAGAAGAGTACGTGGAGCACTATCGGAAAACCACGGGTTACAAGGCTTGGCATCTTGGGCCAGCCTCTTTAATAGTGAGAAGCTCGGAAGAGAAAGCAGAGAGGGGGCAGAAGAGCGTGGTGAGTGTACACGAGTGTCTGAGTTGGCTGGACACGAAGCGAGATAACTCGGTGGTTTACATATGCTTTGGGAGCCTTTGCCATTTCCCGGATAATCAGCTGTACGAGATGGCGTGTGGGGTAGAAGCTTCGGGTCACGAATTCGTGTGGGTTGTTCCGGAGAAGAAGGGGAAGGAGGAAGAGAGCGAAGAAGAAAAAGACAAGTGGCTTCCAAAGGGGTTTGAAGAGAGGAATAAGGAGAAGGTGATGATTATTAGGGGGTGGGCCCCGCAGTTGCTTATCCTGAACCACCGTGCCGTGGGAGCGTTTGTGACGCATTGCGGGTGGAACTCGACGGTTGAGTCGATCTGCGCGGGGGTTCCGATGATCACGTGGCCGGTGCATGGGGAACAGTTCTACAACGAGAAACTGGTAACTGAGGTTCGGGGAATTGGGGTGGAGGTGGGTGCTACCGAGTGGAACTCCATAGGGTTTGGGGAGAGGGAGAAGTTGGTGAGCAGAGATAGCATTGCGGAGGCTGTGAGGAGGTTGATGGACGGCGGTGATGAGGCGATGGAAATCAGACGACGCGCACAAGAGTTTGGCAGAAAGGCTAGAGAAGCTGTTGGGGAAGATGGTTCATCCCACAACAATTTAACGGCCCTGATTGATGATCTTGTGCGCCTGAGAGACAGTAAGCTCCTCTGTTAGTAGCTATTCACTTTTTACATTTTTGGCATTTTAGCAATTATTTTCTATGTCTGTGTCTTGCTGGATGGTGAAAACTCATAAATACTTCCACTGAGGTTAGTATAGGTATAAATAAAATGGGTAATTATATGATATCATCACAGCTTCTCCGTATATCGTGTTTTCTCTTCATGTCTGTAGTTGTAAACTTTTCTCCTGTGCTCCTATTGTAATTTTGGGATGAGTGTTCTTTACTCAATGTCAAATTTTGTGTGGTTATAAAAAGAAAAAGTTTTCTTCCCTTTCCCATTTATACAATCTATATCCAATTTCTCTCTATCGATTTGAATTTCCTTTTTCCTTAAATTCGAACCAATTTGACATGTGGGTATGCTTAATTCTGCTTAACTAAAATTATGTTATACCGTTCATATAAGCAATTTTTCAAAGGAGGCGTTTAGGTTGACTAGTTTGGGCAGCCATCTATTTCAAATAAAAAAATATTAAAAATGAAGAAAAAAGGAAGAAATTTAATTGGTTTTATTAGTTTGGGAAACGGGACATCAAATTCCAAATCATAAAATTGTTACTCAGACTAAAGATGATCAGTTTTATTGGGTTTATGGTTTACAATGACATGTAATCGTACATTTGTCACGTAGTTGATAACGGTTAACTTCAATGGTTTATTACTTTAAAATTTAAAAATTATGTTGGTTAAAATGTAATTCTTTTAAAGATTGATAGTGTATAAAAAAACAATTATATAAGACAAGCTTACCAAATTGATAGGTATGCCAATCTCCCTCAATTATACTTAACACTTATTATACGGACAACATTTTTATTTTCAAAAATATAAGCATGTTCCCTCGTTTGTAATTCTTTTAAAGAGAACTTTAAAAGCTCGATTTGTGTATGAAATAAGAATTTACATTTTACATCCTTAAAGAATTAGAATATAAAATTAGAATTTTAAATTTAAATTAAATTCTATAGCTTGATATAACATCTAAATCTTTAAAAAATAATTTAATTTTTTATTAAAATTTTATTTAATATTTTTTTAAATAATATATTAATTAAAAAATATAAACTAATTATTAAATAAATTATTAAAGATGATAATTTAATATTTTTTTACAAATTATGATACAGTGAATTTATTTTTATATTTAAATTATTATTAAAATTTAATATTATATTATGAACTATCTTTCTCAAAAATTAGATAAAAGCATACAAGTGCTCACAAATATAATTTAACTTTTAAAATAAAAAATATAAATTGAATATAAGCATTTTCAAGAATTCTCGTTTTGAGACCATGAGATAAAGTAAGTAGAAACATTTCAATAAATTTAATTATGTTTACATGATAAGTATCATATAGTCTTCTTCTTTCACGTAAAATGTTGTAAGCTCAAAAAAGTTTGTTTAATAAGACATAATCGATTATAACAATTTTTATCGGTCTCATGATATAATCACCTCAAAAGTATACTTTTTACTATATTTTTATTATTCTACTGCATCTAGCACTGGTTTCTTTTTCTTTTTTCTTTTTCTTGTACTCTCAATAGTTTTAGAATTAATTTTTAATACTTTATCTGACATCTAATAATTCAATAAAAGTATTAAACAATTTATTATACAATCAACACAAACAATATAGGTTGCGCCAAGTATAAAAAGTCTAAAATAGCAATGCAATATAGTTTGCAATAAATGTAGAGCAGTAATACGACATAGTAACTTAAATATATTAAACATGTGACAAATGTAAAAAAAAATGAGAAGGAAAAGAGGACAAGAAAAGAAAGCATAAAAAAAAAAGTAGGAACAACAAGAGTAAGAGAAATAGATAAAAATTATTTTTATTAATAATCAATATAAAATGAGAAAGTAGATAATAGAAAAAACAATATAACGTAAAAATTGAAGTAGTGTGTTAATAATCAACATAAAGGTGAAGTTAAAAGGATAAAAAAATACAGAAAAATAAGAAAATATAAGAGGAGGAAGAAAGATGCACAAGGGAAGGAAAGAACAAAGGAATAAATAAGAAGAAAAAGAAGAGAATACACAAAGAGGAAGAAAGATGCGTAGAAAAAAGAAAAAGTAATGAAAGAGATAAAAATAAAGTATTTGAAAAAGAAAGTATTAGAGAAAAATAAGAACGATAAATACAAGAATCACAATATGTGAGAGTGTATTTGTGAATTATGATATTAAAAATTCAATTTCCTCAAGTACATATAAGAATTGAAATGGAGCAAATTTAATTATTATAAAATTCTATTAAATTGGATTATAGAATTATAATATCAATTCTAAATAAACATTTAAATATGATAATTAAAATTATGAAACTTAATTTTAATTTCAATGTCTAATTTTATATTTAATTTCGTACACCAAGACAGGACTAATATAATTTACAATAATATTTGAAAATTGAGGTGCATAATTTACTAAACCAGAATGATGTTATAATAATAATCTCACATAAAATAAGTACCAAAGAGATAAATGAGAATATATATTTTTAATTATATATGGATAAATATGTTCCTGTTTAAATAAAAATGAGAGAAAATTTAATTTTAAAATAATTAATTTTTTCAATTTGAATTACATGTTTTTCCTTTCTTTAATTAAACTAATAACAAGGCGAGATGTCAAAGTGAACATTGACTTGCAGACTAACTCAATGTACCTTCCTATACGAGGTGAGTTTTGTCGATTTCTCTTTTCAAACTGAATCATATTTTTATGACATACAAATTTGAATAATTTGAAAAGAAATTTAAAAGTTTGATAGGTTAACTCATAGTTGATTTATCAAAATTAAAAATGTATTTTTTATATTAGAAAATATAAAGAATGATAAAAATAAAATAAAAAAGTATAAAAATATATCATAACTTATTTTACTATCATTTAATAAGCATGTCTGCTTATATAACTTTTTTATAAAAGGAAAGCGATAAAAAAAATATATAAATAACATAACTTAATTAAATGAATTATAAACATATATTATACCATTATTCTTCCACAAATAAAAAATACACATTATATATTTTTTCTACGGAAAAAGTTCTTACAATTATATCATTCACCATTTGTTAGACGTAAAATCTTATGTTATGCCATTTGACTAATTTCTTTATATTTATTATTGTTCTTGATTCAGAAATAAATAAATATGAAAGAGAAATTGCATGTAAAATATTAGGTTTGTATACTTACAAAGCACAATGCTCATTTTTTCATAAATGGTCTTTTTTATTTGTATTTTGTTTTCTTTCTTCTTTTGTTTCTCTCCAAATAGCAGAAACATTCACCGAATAGAGTAGCATTTCTATTTTCGGGCTTTATCATGCAGAGCTAGAAGCTAAGGCATCGTGTCCTGATTTCGGGAAAGGTGCCCCTTCTGCATGTCGTATCTGCATGTAGACTACTATCTTGGTCTTTGCTTCTTGTCCTGCGACTGCACTCTATTGTCTTTTATCTTGCCATGGAAGTTTCTTAATTTGTGTTCCCTGGACCTTCATGCATATGTAGCATAAGTCACAAACACACACGGTATATTTCGTCTTCTTATAACTATACACTCTTAAAGACTTCTGACAAACGTTTTTTCAATTTAACCCAGCACCGTTTTTTAATCCTATTTTTGTTTTACATTTCCATCTTTACCCTAATATAATTTTTGTCCCCACCCAATTTTTATTTGGGATAACCTGGCCATTTAACATCTTTTGGAGAAAGGGTTTTAAGAACCGGATTCCTGTCAAAGAAATTGGTTGGCTTCAATTCAAATCCATTGTTCATCAATGGCATTATTGGCAAATCTTCTTGGGCTGGAACATGACGAATTCCCATCACGTGCCCACAACACGATGTCTTTGTTTTCAATATCTCTATTCCTGCAATTTTTTAAATAAAAAAAAATTAGAGTCTGTTCTGATATCAATCATATCATACATGGAGCTAAAAAATTCATTTTGAAAACCAAGAGTTAAACTACAAAATCAACACAAAAAATTGTCAAATCACCAGCCCACTTCTGAGTCCTATTATATAGAGTGACCCATACATTATATTAGTCATCTTCCGTTAGAAGAGAATGAATTGGGATTGTTGGAATCAACCTCTACACAATTTCCAATGGAAGTTTTCTTGTTTGGATTCACCACTATAAGTTCCCATGGGCTTGCTTGACGCAATTATGATCTTTGAGTCAGACTCTGTCTTAGCCGTTTCCGCTCAATTGTCCAATAAATCTTTCTTTTTGAACTTTCATCTTTCACTCTCTTACAGTTTTTAAATTAGTCTTCTCAAAAGAGTTGTCTTCACCATCAATGTCATGGTCAAGATAGGATATGTAGAAGTGGTCATGATTAACCCCAATGCTGTTTGCTGACACTAAAGTACCATGTTGATCCACCTTAATCTCATTTTCGTGTGCTAAATATCCACTGCCTTAATTTCCAATACAGCCGACAGTGCTATCTGCATTTGTGTGTGTAAAGTTAAAGAATGATATTGTTTATATAGAAAGTTTAAACAAAGAAGAGAAAATGGAGTTTAGGCAAAACATGAGTCAAGTAGGGTTAGTATTGTCTTGGTTGACCTATAGTTTTTCTTTGCTTTTGCTATTTAATACTATCGTAACTTCGTATTTACGTACGTAGGTTTTTATTTGTCTTTCTTTCCTGTACTACGTCAAATAAAGAGAATTTCCCATGTATCCTTTAGGATCATGTGAATCATTGCTCAATTGGTCGTCTAATTAAATGACTAGATGTACCTGATTAACGTGTTGTTTACCATGAACCAGTTTTTTAAAGAAATAAAATTTAATTTCTGTATGAAATCACGGGGAATATTAAATCGAGAAAAATGTTGTATGAATACCCAAAAATATCATTTACCATCTCTCGCTTTGGATTTTGGAACCGTATATATATATATATATATATATATATATAGTAAGTAAGAATATTTTTTTATTTAATGTAAAAAAAGTTGTAACCATAACTTATTTGAATTTAAGATAAACATAACTTCACTTAATTATTTATTTTTAACCCATGGTATCAACTAAAAAAAATCATTAACCTATTGAAAGTGTTTTCCAATGCCAATATGTTTACTTCCGATGTATGCTTTCAATGAAAAAAAACATAATATTTTATATTTTTCATATTAAATTTATTCTTTTTCATTTTCAAATAAGCTACGAAAATTCTTCAGAGAATTTTGATTATTTTAAAAAGTGTGAATAAGATACTAATCATTAAATTTTATTTAAATGATTGAGATTAAAAAATGAAGCATAATTATTTAACTATTAATTAACCTTGAATTTTGACTATTTATTGTGTGGTCTAATAAATTTATTATTCTTACAATAATAAAAAATATGATAGCATTTAGTTCAATTTTTTTTTTATCAAAAAGTATCATTTTAT